ATCCTAAGAGGATAATGGAGGAGAAGGGCTTGTGGCATGGCTACCGCATCTGGGGGGGGGGTGATTTCTCACTTTCTGTCTCTCTGTCTCTCTGCCTTTCTGGCGAGCACATGTGCCCTATAGCAAAAACCTCTCCAAAAATAAAAGTTAAAAATAAAGAAAACTATAATGCTTCATAATTTGTAGGAATCAGCTAAAGCAGTGCTGCAATAAAAATGTGTAGTAACAAATTCACACATATCAAGAACTGAATGAAGTTACTCTCTATGCTCAAAAACCTTGAAAGCAGAAACAAGGTAACCTAAACATATAGAAGAAAAGCAATGGTAAGGACAAGAGCAGAAATCAATGAGAAGGCAAACAGAAAATCAACAGACAGAAATAATAACATAATGATCTTCCTCTTTGAAAACATCAGTATATCCAGACAATTCTGAATGAATGAGAAGAAAAATAGTAATAGTACCAACATCAGAAATAATAATAGAGGCTATGACTACAGATCTCAAAGCACAAGGCAGGTCTGAAATAAATAAGGAAATATGATAAACAGACTAAATAAGATAATGTGTTTGTAATAAATCAGTTTATCCATTAGCACAGAGTGCTACAACTCACACAGAAGTAGAGAGTATTAAGAACACCTGACTTTTTTTTTCTTCAGATTTTAAATAGGGCATGTGCACTCATCAGAGAAGGAGAGGGAGAAATCCTCCTCCAGGGGTGAGGACTGCACTGCAATCCCTTTGCCTGTGCTAGCCTCTGGGGAATTGTGTCACAGTATGCCCAAATTGATTTCAAAGTCATCGTGTTAAGGACCCCAACAATAGGTGACTGCCTGGGGGTCCATTGTGTTAACCACCATACCACCTGCTGCTCCATTGACCTCTTTTAAAGGGACACATTGAAAAGCACTTTTAGAGTGACTTTCAGCTTGCTCTTCCTCCTGCCTGGACAGAGACTCACAGTCATCAAAGACAGGTATTTGAAGTCAGGGCAGAGAAGGAGCTTCATGTATGCCTTTCTGCGTTTTCTACAGGGGCCCAGAACACTGTCTCATTCCATTCCTGCTTCCAGATTTAGAGGAGGAAGGGAAGGTAGATACCCCAGTGAGGAAATAGGGCATCTGAAGTAATGAATAGAAACTAAATTTTATTTGAACTACTGAAAATAAAAGGAGTCATGGGAAATACTAAAGAAAGAAAAATAAGGGGAAAAAGTAACAAAAAGAAGTTTTCTGGCTCTCAGGATACAACAGGGGCAGTGAAGCACAGAGATCATGGAGGGGTGGCTGGAGCCAGACCCTGGGCAGCATTTATGGCCTCTGAGAGCAGCAGAAGGGGTTAGGCTCCAGGGGGGTTGTGCTAGGGGCTGCCTCAGCAAAGAATCTGCTGCAGAATCAACAGCACTCACTGGGGGTGGTAAAGAAGGCTCCTCAGTGAAGGATTGTGGCATCAGGGTCAGTGGTGAGAATGGTCTTTGGAGCCTCATGTGAAGGTTAGATGCAGGGGAATGTGGTTTCATCGTGGGCTGACATCTTAGTGGCCTTGAACGAAGCCTCTGGGGTGGGTGCTGTGGCTGGGCTGGCTCCCTGGTGGAGATAACTGTGCAGTACCAGATGGCCCTGTGGCTGGAAGAGGAAAAAATGACAACATACCACATGCCTACCTAGACACAGCCAGATGACATCCCCAGCCCTTCAGCCCACCATGGTCCTTCCCCGACTGTAGAATGTCTTCCCATTCTGCAGCCTCTGCTCAGGTGGACTGCCATGGCCTGGCTCCTGGGAGCTCCAGCCTCTGGAGCCTTCTGGAAAGTTTAGCACCCCTTCCTCTACAAATGAGAGGATTCCCAGTCCTGCTCATCCTCAGGATTGGCATCACGGAGTGCTGAGCTCTCCAGGTGTACCAGCAGACCACGTGCTCAGTGCTCTAGGTCTGAGCCAGGCTTGTTCAGGGTCACATAGGCCAACAGCTGCTTGAGACACAGAAAATCCGGGGTTGCTAGAAATCTTTTGAAAAGCGGTCCACATAGGTGGCCAGGATGGAGTACATGTCTCTGCAGGTAGATGCAGGCAGAAGAGTCAGACTCATGGCCTCTTTTAGGCAGGCTGGAGACTGAAACCTGCCTCTCACCCCAAAGCCCACTCACTTTTTTAGTTGGTCCTGGGGACCGCTGTCCTCCATTGAATAAGGAATGATGCATCCATATCTAGAGGAAGCCAGAGAGGGTCACAGCTACTGTACCTGTTGTCACTCTGTGTTAGGGACTGATCCCTAGCCAGGTGGAGCCAGGAAGGAGTGAGTTTCTTCTGTTTTTAAAATTCAATTATGCTAGTGACTAGAAAACTGCAGAACATACAATAAGGACTTCATGTATGTTTGCCCAGGAATGAGCCCAACCAGCCCCTTTCCAGATGCCTGACTAGGCATGGGGAATCTCTGGTAGCCCTGGAATCCCTACTCTAGCTGCACCAAACATGGGAATCCCAGATGGACTTTCCTCCTCCTATTCACATGGAAACACTGCTTTGACCAAAACCACTGAGCTTGAGGCCAAGGTCAAGTGATTCCTCCAGGGAGAGGAAAACATGGGTAAGCCTTCACCCACAGACAGCTCTTCCTGCATGCCAGGCCTTGGTCTCACCCTACCCAGTCTTCAGAAAACCCCCATGAGATTAGTATTTGTAACATTCTGTTAACCTCAGGAGTAAAGTGAGGTCCAAGGAGCTGAGGGACCTCTCCATGAAGTACAGCCCTGTTGGGCGGGGCTTACTTCATGAAGAGCTGGTCATGAAGCTGCAGGGTACTGTCACACTTGCGGTAGTTTTGCAGGAAGGTGTAGCCTGTCTTTTCTTGGTTCATGGCCATCTTGGTTTCATTCTGAGTGGGGACAAAGGAGGAACGAGGATTCAAATGCATGAACAGTACAAAGTGTAGCATGTGTTAGAATACTGTGCATGGAGTGTGTTTTTGGTTTCTTGCAAATATTTCAAAGTTGTGCTCTACCTGGTCAAGGCTGTGCTGGATGCTGGGGTGGAGGAGGGCAGGGATACAGATATGTGGAAGCTGGACTGTGACCTCTCTAGGGACAAAGACTTGAGAGAGCCCTGGGAGTCCCCTGGTGGGGGTCTGGGAAGAAAGCCACTGACAAATCTGGAACTGGTTGGGAGTCCCCTCCTCCCTGCCCTGACCATGGTGGTCTCGTCTCTAGCTCAGGGAAGTGAAATGGGTCAGGACTTTTTTTTTTTTTTAATTGAGGTGTGGATCACGCCTTTCAACTGGCTTCTCCTGGTGTCCTGCATTCCAATAGTCAATGACAGAGATGTAGCTGGCCTGGGGCAGTAGAGCCCTGCCTTGCCCTCCCACTTCATCCCTGTGACCTTCTGTTGCCTAGAGGACACACAGGCCTGGGTGAACCCAACCTCCACGTGGATTGGACAGGGCCTACTCCACCTCATGGCAGATATCAGGCAGAAGGTGAGCCCAGCCTCCTCTATCACTCAGCAACCAATGATATTCATTGGTCATTCTATCTAAAATTCATAACCACCACCTGCCCAGAAGGCCTTCCATGTTTCCCTCCTGACACTTGCATGCCAGGATAGGTATATGGAATCTCAGGGGAGACCTGAGCAGGGGCCTGGCTGTGTCATGCTAATCAGTCCTGGCTGTCCTGTGTTACCTTGGGCTTCTTCCAGGCAAATGTCCAGTGGTGTCGGTGATGAAAGCTGACCCAGTGCCTCCAGCACTGCCACATGCTGTCAGCCCGGTGTGTGTGGAGGCCTGAATCTCGGGAATGGGAGACACAGTATAAGAACATGTTGCTCCCTTGAGTATCTTTAGAGAAATGAGCCTGGTAGGGCTGTTACTGGAATCTGGGCTCTAGGTAACCAGGGTTCTGGGTTCTGTTGGGGTCTGCAATCAAGGAAGTGATGTCACTTCCTGGGCTCTTCTTCCTGGTCTCCTTGCCTTGAACAACATCACCCGTACAGTACCAAATGGTCCCCCTCCAACCTGGGCCGTGTCCACACTGTGCTCCCACACAGACTCCCACAGGGTACTTAGCAGGGTATGGCTGCAGTCAATGCCACAAGAGTGGAGAGATAGAGCTGTTGTTAGACCTGTCGTTCCTTCCGACGTGCTTCATGGTACTTTGAGGAGGTTCCCATTCCTGTGTGCTGACAGGATCATTCTGGCATCTTCTCCCTACAGGGAATCATGCTCTGACTGACCTGTAAATACCCATATTCCCTTGAAAACCAAGGTCTGATGTCATAAACAGATCACTAATGCATAGAGTTGAAGAATTAGCAAAGGGAGAGTCAAAGAGAGAAACCCAGCTCTGTCTAGACCTGATTCTCCCTCTTGGTCCAGAGAGAGTCACTTCCTGTCCTGGTCTCATGTCCTCTTCCTCTCTATGAGAAGCTTGAGGTTAAGTGAAACTTTGACATTATTCCCATCTTTCATGAACCTTCCAGTCTGCTGTGTTATCTTGGGAATTGTTGGTTGTTGTGTTCAAGAGCCTGAATGGTTCCCAGATCTCTGTTCCTGGTACCAAGCTGTGCAATCTCTTCCCCTTAAGAGCTGCCTGGATACAGTTTCTCCCTTGTAAGGGACAAAATATCAGCACATGGTGAGAAATCACCTCAAGACTGAGTGAGGAGGAGTCTGAATTCCTTGGGGTCCCCTCTCTGTGGTGTTACCCCTTCCCCTGCCTAATGCACACTACTAGGCAAGCTGAGATATCACAAGTTCCCCATGGACTGGCCCCAGGACAAATGGGATCCCCAAATGGAACCAGGCAACAGACAGCTCCCCCATCCATCTTCCTCTCAGAACAGTTTAGGGACTTCTACTAGTGTGGTGAGTGTTCCTTGTGGTCGTCACTACTGAAACGCCCTGAGTCAACTCCCGGGCCATATTCACCCTGAGTCCAGCTTTGCCTGATCCCAGTCCTGGTGCCTGCATCAAGTCCTCATGAAACCAGCTGCTCAGAGAAGGGCCCTAGACAAAGCACAAGTGAACAGACTGAGAAGCACTCTGCGGGGAGAGTTTTGAACACCCCCGATTAGCCTCCCTGTAAATCGACCCCCTGAGTTCAGAATGGGGAATTAAAGCAATTCTAATCAGTCAATGTGGTCCACCTGGAGCTCAGGCCACTGTATCCTCCAAATCTCAAAGCCGTGACACCAAGTGGACTGAGGACCTCTACCATGTGCCCATAATCCAGACTCAGCCAGGAAGAAGAGGGGTCCCTGGTGTCCATGTCTGGTGTGGGGCTGGACTGTGCTGTCAGAGGTGACACAGTAATTCAGTCACATGAGGGCCAGCCTGTCCAGGACCCATTCAGACCCTGCTACCCAGACTCCCCACAGATTGGCTCCTCAGGGTGGTTGTATGGGAGGGGAGTATAAGTCCAGAGCCACGAAGAGGGCTCTCAAGGAAGTTGCCCACAATGCATCCTTGGACAAGGCCATGTCTGCAGAGATGGGGGGAGGTTAAGAGTCCATTAATAAGAGCCCTGTCTTTCCTTAGCACTGAGTCTGCTGGGGCGAAGACCATGCTGTGACCTCTGGGAATGGGCTGGTCATCATGACCCCTAGGTGCAATGGTGTCCTTGGCACACACTGCCAAGTAACCTCCCAACGTCACGGACACTACTGTGTCTCCAGTGGTTCCCCAGAAGCTGTCTAATGAACACCATGCCCTGAAAACCAAGCACACACAGCATAAGACAAATCTGCAAGCCCCATTTGGCAGCTGTCTGCTGTATTTTCTCTGAATCCTGCCATGGAGGACATGTCCATCCCAGCCAGTCTGGTGCTTCTGGTGGCTCACTTGGAATATCCAATCATAAAATTGCCCTGAAATGTGCCCACTGGAAAAGAGTCCTTGGCACACACTGCCAAGTAACCTCCCAACGTCACGGACACTACTGTGTCTCCAGTGGTTCCCCAGAAGCTGTCTAATGAACACCATGCCCTGAAAACCAAGCACACACAGCATAAGACAAATCTGCAAGCCCCATTTGGCAGCTGTCTGCTGTATTTTCTCTGAATCCTGCCATGGAGGACATGTCCATCCCAGCCAGTCTGGTGCTTCTGGTGGCTCACTTGGAATATCCAATCATAAAATTGCCCTGAAATGTGCCCACTGGAAAAGAGCCAAGTGACGGAGGGTCTTTCTACTGAGAAGAGTGTGGCTTTTCAAACCTCGCGGGAAGACCTAACAGTCACAGTCCAGGACCCAACCCAGGACTGATACTGCTGTCAGGGCACAGGGCTGGGAAGGTTATTCCATTTCTGAAGAGGCTTGGTGTATCTGATGTGGGAGGATGGGTGGAACATCACAGAGACGGGTTCAAGTACACCACAAGTATAGGGCGCTCAGTCCTGACCCTTGGAACACTTTCAGCTGAGTTGGTGCAGGGCATGACCTGCTTTTACTTCATCTAGCCTGGCTGAGGGTCATCCTGAAGAGGTGCAGCACAGAGGAAGGAAGGGACAATCCATCGTGTCAGGAGGGAGTACGTGATGAGGGAGGGGTGAGCTGTTGTCCACCCGCCCCAGTGCATACATCCATCTTAGGTGTTTCTGTCATGGCCATGTGTGCTCAGATGCTGCTGAGCATGAGCAACATGACAGGGAGGTGTGGCATTCATACCATGGCACTAGAGGGAAGGGACATTAGGCAGCCAGTGCTGTTGAATTTGCGAGTATGCATGCAGTGGTCACAGTCCTGGGTATGCTCTCAATCTGGATTGTGAGCTGCTGGTTGTGGCTCATGACAGGAGACACCCTCCCTTGGTTGAGGCCAAGAGAGCTGTGAAGGTCATTCCCTGGGTGGCCAGAGGCTCCTCCCACAAATGTCCTGGTCCGGGCACCTCCTGGTGTATTTCACCTTTACACACCTGCAGACACCTACATGTCTGGGTGGTGGGGCCCATGAGGACAACTCCATGGACCTTTCCTCATCCACAATCACTGCTGGAACCCCAAGTCCACTCTGGGGGGCTCCTGGACTGGAGGCATAATAGGCTGCTACTCACTCAGGGCAGAATCTCTCAGCTGCAGGCCATGCCCCAGTCTCAGGGAGGGGCTCAGCCTGCCTGACCCACCTCCTCCACGGGATCTTCACAGACCTGGCCCTTCTGAACACCAGGAGGTGAAAACCTGAGGCCAGTAGGGTATACAGCCTTGGGCCACTTCTGTTGGTGTCCAGTCTGTGATCCTATGGACAAAATCCTTCTGAGGTTTAGCCAAGGGACCATCAGGGACATGTGCCCATGTGCACAAGGATGTGTCCTCTGGGCCAAATGAATTTAATACCAGGACAGGAGCGGGCCAAACCTGGAAGCGAACCTTGAGGGTACAGGCCCACTGCTGACCTGGGCAGAGGTATAGCAGGTAATGGCAGACATTCCACCTCCCAGCACAGGTCAAGTCAGTTGTCCATATAGTGGCCCCAGTCCTTACCCCACCTACTCTTCAAATGGCTCCCAGTCATCTGGGCCAAATGAATTTAATACCAGGACAGGAGCGGGCCAAACCTGGAAGCGAACCTTGAGGGTACAGGCCCACTGCTGACCTGGGCAGAGGTATAGCAGGTAATGGCAGACATTCCACCTCCCAGCACAGGTCAAGTCAGTTGTCCATATAGTGGCCCCAGTCCTTACCCCACCTACTCTTCAAATGGCTCCCAGTCAAATCTGCCTCCACCCACATCTGGCTGTGGTCAAGGCCTGGATGACCCACACCAAGGAGGAAGCCACACTGACTGTAGTTGCTCAGGTGGCAGCAGAATCAGTGCAGCCCACAGGTGGGAGCTTCCCTGGGGATCTCAGAGGGCCTTTCATTGACCCTGAGCCCTGTCGTGTCATGGTCATTGCTCTCTTCCTTTCTCTGCCTTATCTCACCCCCTGAACTGGGGGCTTCCACCTTACATTTCTTCTATCAGAACATCTGAGTGATGAGAGGGTTTCTGTTGCAGATGGCCCAGCTGCTGTGTGGGGAACACAGACAGGCTAGTCTTAAGAACTACAGTACTTTCACCACGAAAGCTGCGATTTGTTCACCATCTGAAGCCAGGTCGCTCGCTGTGGGTACCTCCTGTGCACACCTGTGCACATGTGATTTAATGCCACTTCCAGGCCCATGAGGACAAGTATGCAAGGAATCCTCAAATGACATGAATCTCCCACTCCCTGATTCTCAGCACCATCTCTCAATGTCCTGTAGGTTCTTCTATTTTGTGTGCCTGTGAGAACGCAGGCCAGGGGAGGGCAGGGAATGTCACATGTCTGTAGCCTCCACAAATGTAGCAACTGGGCCTTCACATACAGAACATGTTTCAGTTTCCTCTTTCTTTCTTTCATCCTTCCTTCCTTCCTTCCTTTCTTCCTTCCTTCCTTCCTTCCTTCTTTTTTTTGGGGGGGAGGGGGAGGTTTTTGTCATAGGGTGCATGCGCTCACTGTAAAGACAGAGAGAGACAGAGAGACAGAAAGCGAGAAATCACCCCCCATGGAGGATGGCCATGCCACAAACCCTTCTCATCCATTCTCCTCTCGGGATCTTGGGCATGCATGCACACACATCTGGCATGAGTTTAAGCCACCAGGTCCAGGACTCGAACCACGGTTGACTACATGCGATTTCAGCGACATAGCAAATACGCTAACTGCTGGTCCCATGTTTCTGGTTTTTTTTTAACTTCGTTTTTTTATCTTTTGTGCAGTTGGCTGCCTGTAGTCATTGCAGAGAGACAGAGAGGAAAAGTGAAACATGATCCACCATGGGGATTACCACACCATTATCCCCTCTCCTCCACTCTCTTAGAATTTGGGGTGCACATACATATACCCAGTATGATTT